TTAATTTGCTATATTCAAAGATGGCTTGAGAAATTGGTGAATCGAGAAGAAAACACGTTTTCTCACTGCAAATTCACAACTGTCAACTCTTTGTTCTTCGCCATATTCTTTGTTTACCCGTTGCCACAAATGTCATTCTGCGAGAATGCGCAATCTTGCTTTCGATAAACATCGACTTCACATCACTGCGGTTGTTCTGGCTATTTCACACAATTAACAAGAAAATGATACATGCAATGAAAATAAAAATTACATAAACGGATGATCTAACTTGATATTATTTAATAAAAATGTAATTTTTCCAAAATATCGTAAAGAAAAATCGATGCATTTTCACACTCGTTTTGCTATATCGTAAACTAAAGAGCGAAATACACCACACAAGCGGCTTGTCAAACATTCTTCAAACCTACTTTTCCCATTTCGCCATACACCATGCAAACATGACTCGTTCAAGCAAAGAATTTTAGTTTTCTTCGAGTTCGCAATGCTAAATATTATGGTTTTCTTTCATTTTCCTCTCTTACGTCCTTACTCGGTGAAAATTTCGTTGCGAATGAGGCGATTTTGCTATACACAACGCAAGCGGTTTGATCAAACATCAACATGGCGGTCAGAAAATCAAAAAAATTTGATTTTTGCTCAAATTTCCCTCAAGCGGTTTGTCAAACCTTCAAACACCCCCATACACAGCACAAATGGCTTGAAGCAAAGGGAAATTTCGCTTGGTTTGTCAAGCCGCTTGTGTTGTGTATTTCGCTCTTTAGTCGAAACTACTTAGTAGAAGTCTGAAATGCGACTATGAATAGAGGTAAATTTTAAGTTGGTACTTAAATTTAAGTTGCAACTTTGTTAGTTTCGACTTAGTTGCTGGACTATGAATACGCGCCAATAAGATGACCATCGAAACAGATAATAAACCTAATACTAGGTTCACATATAAGTAGATTATCCTTATTTTCGAGCTTAACACCCTAATCTGTAATTAAAACAAGAGATTGGCCATATAAAATTCGTCCCTTGTTAATCTGTAATTATAAAATAATCTCAGATTTAACCGATAACTTTTCGGTGTCCATCCTAGTTTTANAATGTACGCTAGCAAGTTAAAGAGGTTTGTAAAGGTATTTTTAATAAAATGTTAAGTTAAAATATATTTATATTGCTTATTATAGCATAGAAACGTGATCACGGTGGCACAGAGAAGAAACATAAATTTTCCTTAAGATGTGAGAATAACAAGCACAACAAATTTGACAGCTAATAATCTGAGATTTGCCTGTGTAAACGGGGTGATTAAAAAACGAGCTTTGATTGACATAATATTGATATGTGAACATAGTTTAAGAATGGCGGCGTCATGCGCTTTTTTCCCACTAATCAATACTTATTTGCGTGATTTAGTTATTAGCAAATAAAAAATTAACTCAGCGTTTATACGGCAAAGTTTACCATTTTGCAAATTTTTATTTGCAAATAATACGTACTTATAAGCGTAGTATATGAAAGAGTTAAATAGTGATTACAATAAAACACAATTTTAGTCGTTAAAACCTTTTTCTAACTTGTCTATGACTACGGGCCATTATTTGTGTACGTGTTTTTGCAACCAATCATCGCGCACTTCAATTAATAAGTCGACTATCGATTGCAATCGATTGCGTTGCTAGTCATGAACGAAAGACACAAGATCACGTAAGAACAAGAGAGTGAAAAAAGTCGATTTTTTTAGCGGGTTCTACGCCATCTTGTTTCACTGGAAAACGAGCGATAAGTAAACAAAGCAAGGAAAACAACGAAAACCAAAATTAGCCAAAATTATTGTCAGCCACTTTAAACGCACAATTTAGGTAAAATGATGCAACAAAATGCTTTAAAATGTGTTGTCATGTTGAATTTTTACTTGAATAAAAGTGTAAAATAGTGGTGCTTGTGATGTAAACAAACGCTCGGCTGACGAACCCACTTTCGCAAACTTTTTGAAGTGAAACTTCTTAATCGAGTTCGGAGATGGTTGCGTTAAAAATTTAACACTAAGCCATAAACTCTGTATCGTTCGTTCGATCTTTAAAAATGAGGTGTCACATGAAAGGCCTTGTCCTTCGGGTGTACACCATAGCCTTAGTTCCATGAAAGGAGTTGCCACATGTTAGAAAATCGAATTCAAAATTTCTCTGCCGCAGAGGGTTGCGTTAAATATTTAACACCACGTCATAAAATCTGTATCGTTCGTTCGATTTTTAAAAATGAGGTGTCACATGAAAGGCCTTGTCCTTCGGGTGTACACCATAGCCTTAGTTCCATGAAAGGAGTTGCCACATGTTAGAAAATCGAATTCAAAATTTCTCTGCCGCAGAGGGTTGCGTAAAATATTTAACATCAAGTCATAAAATCTGTATCGTTCGTACGATTTTCAAAAATGAGGTGTCACATGAAAGGGCTTGACCTGCAGATGTGCAGTATGGTTTTAGTCTTTTAAAGGGTTGCCATATATACGAAAATCAAATTCAAATTATTTATTAAGTTAAACGAATTATCCCAATATGGGTATCAAAAGAAATGGTTTTGAATAAGTTGTATTTTCTAGCTAAATGTAGGAGGGTTGCCACCTGTTTCAAAAGTAAAATTTAGTTAAATTATACAAAAGTCTTACGCTTAAAATACTATACAGTACAGAAAGAGCTTACAGAAACACAATTAAAATATTTTTGAGGTGCCTGAAGAGGGTGGCCACCTGTTTAAAAAGTTAAACGCAAATTATTGAAGCAAATCTTATTATAGCTCCGTTATGTTTGCGATAAATATTTAACGCCACGGTACAGGTAGCATATGACGGGTATAGAAAACGAATAGCTGCGTTAAACGCCAATTGGGCGGGAAAAGACTAATGCAAAGACAAGAATATAATCAAAAACAAATATAAAGATAAGATGAAGATGAAGATGAAGATGAAGATGAAGATGAAGATGAAGATGAAGATGAAGATGAACATGAGCATGAACATGAACATGAACATGAACATGAACATGAACATGAAAATTAAGATGAAGATGAAGATGCAGATGAATCTGACGAACTGACAAAATTCTTTAAAGAAAAATTTTCACTGGAAATGGTTAATGGTGGAAATGATCCAA